GCTGTTTATCAGCTTCTGAACATCCTTCTAACTCTATGGTCCTTACGAGTGTCTTGTTGACGGGATGAAGTTTTGCAAAAATAAAGCACCACTGCAGTCGTGCCTACTGTCTGGAGGAAGCAAAATAGACTAGATCAATGTTTTAAAAGATTTTTTTTTTCACCCAAGGTAACAATTTCTTCTAATGGGTTGTTTCATAGAGAAGGCAACATTTAAGGAAGAAACTCTAAAATCAGAGCTCCTCTGGGTAAAGTCCCTTACAAGCCTTTCCCTAGGCACCTTGGTAGAGCTCAGTACAGTATTAAAAACCTTGGAGCTAGGCCGAAACCGGTTTGGCTCAGTGGATGGAGCGTCGGCCTGCGGACTGAAGGGTCCCGGGTTTGATTCCGGTCAAGGGCATGTGCCTGGGTTGCGGGCACCTCCCCAGTGGGAGGTGTGCAGGAGGCAGCTGGTCGATGTTTCTCTCTCATCGATGTAATAAAATATATTTAAAAAAAAAAAAACCTTGGAGCTAGATAACTCTTCATTTCTCTTTAAGCATTAGTCTCACTTTATTACTCCTATTACTCACTGCACTTATATGCTGACAACCATAGGTTCTTTTTTTTTTTTTAATATATTTTTTACTGATTTTTTACAGAGAGGAAGGAAGAGAGATAGAGAGATAGAAACATCGATCAGCTGCCTCCTGCACATCTCCCACTGGGGATGTGCCCGCAACCCAGGTACATGCCCTTGACCGGAATCGAACCTGGGACCCTTCAGTCCGCAGGCCGACGCTCTATCCACTGAGCCAAACCGGTTTCGGCAACCATAGGTTCTCTTATGGCAGCATATCATCCTTATTATACAGAGCTCAATTCATTGAAGTTATTTTGCCAAGTCATGCAATGATATCTTGACATTTCCATTCATAGTATATATATTTTGAGTCCTAAAATTAATACTGTGGAAAATCCCTAAAAACAGTATAGCATAAATAGATGTATTTAACTGGGAAGGGTGGTAATATTAGGTACTGGAGGACCAAAATTTAGATTATAAATGGAAAGTTGTTATTTTATATTAGAGTGAATCAGTATTACTATTTATCATTTATATAGCATTTTATATTTGCAAAGTATTTAATAATTTTTGTTATTCTTTACATATCTATGAAATAGGACAGTTATCCCACATGAAAGGTAAGGAAATTAAGACACAGAAATTAAGCAGCCTACCTAAGACAACCCAGTGAAACTGGAATTAGAATGATCCAATTTTTGAATCCTGGAATATCAGCTTAATTCACTGAGATGTGTTGTTCATTACTCTATTTTATTAGATGACTTTATACAAGTAACAGCCAATTGTTTTAAAGCTGACATCATTATATGTGGATAAATCCTATACAGAATAAATATTATGTAAAGTATGTGACTTTAACTACAAGAGTTTTATTTTTAATTTATTTATTGAGAGGATGAAGGGAGAAACACTGATTTGCTGTTCTACTTATTTATGCATCCACTGGTTGATTCTTTATGTGCCCTGGTTGGGGATTGAACCCAAAATCTTGGTTCAGCATCGGGATGCTGTTTCAACCAACTGGGGAGGGCACTTACAAGAGTTTTAATGATAAAATTCAGGGTATCACAGAAATGATACTGTTTAGTCAGCTTCTTTATACTTGTGTGAAATTATAATTAATCTTATTTTGATACAGTTAAACTATTCATACAAATGAAGCCACAAATATACTAAGAAAAATGGAAAACTTCATTCTTTAACATGTCAGTCTTTTCCCTACCGAACTTGTATTAATGCCAACAAGAAGTCAAATATGTTAAGCAATAAACCACACACAAAAGCAAGGGAAAGTTCAAAGAAGGTTCGTAAATAACCAGAAGCCTGTTCCTTTTCTGTGTAAGGTGCTTACTACTTAAAAGTTGTGCTACATGTACCCACTAAGAAACCTTCTGCAGCAATGTATCCATAAATTTAAAATTCTAAGTACTACACAGAAACAGGGGGTCCAGTACAGTAGGGATCAAGCAAGTGGGATAGGTCCGAATAGCTTCCAAGAAGTGAGTTTCCAGTTATGTTGAAGAAGGACACGATCGCCAGGTGAGAATCTGGGTAAAGACAGTAGACTAGTTAGTGGCTGCCCCCTAGAGTTTGGAAGGATGGGAGAGATGACTGCTTAATAGTGGGTTTCTTTTTAGAAGAAAAAAATGTTCTAAAATTGATTGTGGTGATGGTTGTATAACCAAGAATACTAAAATCCACCAAATTGTACTTTAAATGGGATAATTATATGGTATGTGAATTATATCAATAAAGTTGTTACAAAAACAAGAGAAAATCTGGGCAAAAATTCAAAAGTAGGAACTGATGAGTTACATGGTCTTTGCTGGTGCATGTGGGTGGGCTGCACTGGTAGAGAGATCAGGAGAGGTCATGGGGACAATGATAAAGGCAGAAACAAAGCTGCCCGATAATTTGCTCTATTCTCAATCTGATACAGCCCTTGAATGTTTCACACCATGGGTTACACAAAATCAGTTAGGGACAATAAATGGAAGGGCAATTGGTTTGGCATAAGGGGATGGGCCGAGCTTTTGAAAATATATGCTCAACTTGGATGTTAGAAAGAAAACTTGATTAACACAGGAGACTTGCAGTAGAGAAAGCAGGAGAGGAAGTGGCTATTTGCCCTTCTAAATAAAGGGAGACCCTGGCTACCAGGGTTGTCTCTAGGGTGGCCACACCCCCTAACCAAGCACTGTGGGCTTTTTAAAATTAATGACAAAAAGGGGGTATTAGCATTTATGCTTGCCTCAATAACGGTAATGAATGCTATCCTGAGTTTACTGAGCATTTACACATAGTCAGGCACTGTCATAAGAGCTTTATGTGTATACATTTATTTAATCCTCTCAACAACCCTGCAAGTGCTATCATCACTACTTAAAATGAGGAAATCAAGGGAGAGATTAAGCAACATGCCCAAAGTGGAGTTATTAAGTGATAGAACCAGTACTTGAACCCATGATCTGGCTCGTTTGTGCTATTAATCACTACAACCCTAACATAAAAATATTAGCACAGTAGTGTTTAAATTCCACAGTTCCAAATATCAGTCCAAGATGACTCCCTTCCTCTTCATTTACAAAAGGATTCTTAACTATCCTAGGAAAGCTGGGGTACTTGTATGCCAACTATAATTTGATAAAATATCAATTTTAAAAAATGTATCTGAAAAAAAAGTATGTGGTGAGGGGGATCCTAACTTCATATATAAAGGGTAACATATTCATTTTCCTTCTATGCAGTATCTTCATTTTGGCATATTTTAAAACTAACAAATTTTTTAAATAGTAATAAATTATATATTTATTACAAACTAAAAGAAATAGAATTTATATTGCATAATTATCTGACTTTTTACTGAATCCCATTATCTAGCACTGGTGGAAAGAGAAATGGCTATGCTTTTTCTCCTAGTCAAGTTTGTAGCCTACTTGGCTTAATATATCCCAAGAGGCCTTGCTCTAGATGTGGCTCTCCCACTGCCCTCATGGCATCCCCTTACTCATTTTCAGCCAACCCAAGTAGCCCAGGATGTGCAAAGGGGTCCATGAAAACAAGAGCTCCATCTCAGTCTGGAAACACATTCTAACAAAGGTAAAGAGATTCCAGGCATTTTTTTTGCTTGGAGGCCCGTAATCCAAATTTGAAAAATGTGTTTAAAGGTTAAGAAGCACTACCCCAGTGATCCTGCCACATATTATATTGAAGAGCTACAGGCTCTTTGCTTCGCCTTCCAATACCCAGGGAAAATAATGCAGTGCTCAGAGAGAACACTTAGAAAACTCACAATCTCGTCCTCTTAGGTCAGTGGTTCTCAACCTTCCTAATGCCTCGACCCTTTAATACAGTTCCTCATGTTGTGGTGACCCCCAACCATAAAATTATTGTCGTTGCTACTTCATAACTGTAATTTTGCTACTGTTACGAATCGTAATGTAAATATCTGGTATGCAGGATGTATTTTCATTGTTACAAATTGAACATAATTAAAGCATAGTGATTAATCACAAAAACAATATGTAATTATATATGTGTTTTCTGATGGTCTCTGGTGACCTCCGTGAAAGGGTCGTTCGCCCCCCAAAGGGGTCGCGACCCACAGTTTGAGAACCACTGTCTTAGGTCAAGTTCAACCTACTATAATGATATATGGCACCACCCAGATATCTTTTCTCATCTAAGTGTGAATAAATAGCAACTTTGCAAACTCTTGTATCACAGGAAAGAATACTCAATTAATGAAGAAAACAGAGTAATGTTGCAAATCAAACCAAAGCACTTCCATTTTTTAGAAATTATCTACTTTGAGAAGTTCAGATAATTTTATTTTATATTTTAAAAATACTTTTATTGATTTGAGAGGAAGAGGTAGATAGAAACATCAATGATGAAAGAGAATCATTGATTGGCTGCCTCCTGCCCGCCCACTACTGGGGATTTAGTGGGCAACCCGGGCATGTGCCCTGACTGGTATCTAACTGTGACCTCCTGGTTCATAGGCTGATGCTCAACCACTGAGTCACCTTGGCTGGACAAAAGTTCAGACAATTTTAAAGTTGTTTTCCTGTCTTCCTGTTTTCTCAGAAATGAAGAGCTTAAATAATTTTTAAAAACCAAAAAGTTAAAAAAAAAATTCTCCCATTCTTCTCTAACTGTATAAATATACTGGCTTTAATATAAAATTACATGATAGAAGGGCCCATTTTAAGGGCATTAAATTTTTCTTGTGGAAAAACAAGAAAGTGTCAGTATATCAGTGTTTAAAAAAAGTGAGATAGAAAATCAGGCTCTTTCTAGAGAAGTTTCCCAATTGTTCAATTATAATTATTTCTTATAAGATATCCAACTAGAATACAGGATGGCTCTGTCCTACAGCAATCTAAAATACAACCTCTTAATATACATATAGAAAATATGTCAACCAATTTGGAGGGAAAGCAAAATCCTGATAGTAAAATTTCTCAAATTATCATTTTTTCTCCCAAATTGGGTTTGATAAGTGTGGAGGCTTCAGAGTCTCTTGGAGTGATGTTTACACCAATGATCCCTTTTGGGACCAGGCTGGAGGGCTGGCATTCCATTGGAAGGATGTGAGGCACCTATTGCGACAGCAAGGAATTAATAAATAAGGAATCATACTTGCCACCTGAAGAATTCTTTAACATTTGAATAATTAGTACAGACCAAGATGATGGCTTGATTTTCCATTTGTGGGAAAATGCTTTAAGTCAAAAATTTCTGTTTTGCAAAACCAAACCATCATATAGTGTCAGAGACTGTAGAATTTATATTATGGTATCTTCTCAAAAGGCTGAGAAAAAAACAGTTCTTCATAGGAGTTTTTTCTTGATCTTAAATGTCAATGATCACAAACACTTCTGGCTTCTCTTCAGTATAGACCTGCATGGCTGAGTATGTTATTGCCTTGACTTCAGTTCCCTAAAGTTGGGATTAGAGAAAAGACAAATAAGAAACAAAGGACAATGGAATCAAAATCATTAATTCTAACAATAATTGGCAGAAAGTCAAAATTTTATTATGGAAAGGTAAAAACAATAATTATCAAATTGGTTTAATAGTATATATTGATCCAATAAAAAGAACAGTACACAGTAGATAGAGCACTGAACTGGAGTTAGGAGATGCAACTGGCTTTGTTTCCTGGCTTTGTTTCCACCTGGATATGGAAGCTGTCTGACTTCTCTGGGCATCAGCTTTTTTTACTTATCAAATTGGTTGAATCAAACAACACAAAGTCTTCCTACTGTTTGCTCAGGGCTCCTCAAAACTCCTCCTTGCAGTCTAACCTGGGCCCTAGGAACTCGGCCTATTCTCTTCTCAGCTGCCAATACTCACTCTACGTGGTAGGGTCCTTCTCTCTCCACATGTTTCTGATAAATGACAACACCCTGCCCCAGTTTAGAGCCACAGGATTTGATATTCTCTTAGTTCTTTCTACAATAAGTCTTTAAAAAAGTGGAATATTTTGGAACATTTTTTATTTATTGACTTTTGAGAGAGAAACATCAATGGTTGTTTCACTCATTTATGCATTAATTGGTTGATAGTTGTATGTGCCCTGACCTGAATCCAAAACTGAGCTACCTGGCCAGGGCCCTCTACAATAATTCTAAAAGTATCAGAGAATAGGGAACTGACATTTGCTAGCTCTATAGTACAAAAGAAATTGGAATATTTTAATGGATTTGAGTGGCACCCGAACCTCTGCTTTCCCCGCCCACTCTGCTATAATCCCCTCAGGAAACAACAATATCAATCAAATTCAACTTTCTGCCTGTGGAAACATCCACCATGCTGAATGGTATCACCTTTAAAGTCTGTCCACAATTCTCAAAAGGCCACTTGGCACTGACCAGTGATCCTACATTTACCACTAAATTCACTTTCTCACTCTGAGGCAACTGAAATTACACATTTTCACCTCTAGCCTCCCTCCTTCATTCTCATTCTCTCTTAACTATGCTTTCTAGAGAACACAAGAGCAATCAATAAGAACTGACTCATCTTCCCCACATCATCTACCATCCAACTCCCACCAGCCTTTCCTCCTGTTATAATGGCCAAACCCTGCTCTTATTAGAAGGCCAACTCTCTTCAGTACTCTATCCCACACTCCCCACTCCCCCACTTACCAACTTAAGGTCTTAGCTCTGAAATCATTCTCTCCCTCTCCAGCATGATCAATTTTCCTCAATATTCTACATCATTTCCAATGTTCTCCGCCCACACAGCTTAAAACATCTGGCCCTTTACAGGAAAATTTCGCCTGCTCTATTTCAATAGACTTAACTAATACAGAGTGAAGCCACACAGGTTGGCAAATACAGAATCTAGAGAAGCAGAAGTAGAAAGTCCTTTAGAGAACATCTAGGCCAAAACCTTTACAGAGGAAGAAATCAAAGCTTGGAAAGGCAAAGGGACTTACTTTTTTTTTAACCACTGAGCTCACTGACCACAATAATCAATAACAAACCTGCCCCTAGAACCTAAGTGCTGACTCTTTTTTTTCC